CAGGCGTGACCAGAGTGGTTTGAACGGCTGTTGTACTGCGATGTGGAAAGCAAATGGAAAAACTACCACATTATCACTTTTCCTGGATAGTCTCGTTCCAAAAACAGAAGATCGCATTAAGTGGAGAAACTGTTTTGGAAGAGACTGTGGACCTGTCGTCTGACAGATTACTGATGATGATGATATATATATATACTTTTTTTTTCTTTTTAATTTCCTCCCATCGATAATGTTAATATAATGTGTTCGCAAAGTTTTGAGGGGGGTTTGACACCAGCACCATCGGTGTAAAATCCGGACTTTTTCTGTAGTGGTAGATTTTTACAATTATACATGTTTTGTTCAGGTCACACTGTTATTTTTATGTTTCATTGTATGTGATCAGTGTTGAGAAATATTATGAAATACACCTGCTTTACAGGATTTGTTAATGAATCGTGAAGATTATCTTCGTCCCATTCGTGCCCTCTTAAGGGAGATTGTTCGTGTATTGAGACATGACATCAACATATCGGCTCTCTGTAGAGGACTGATGCTCGACAGAAAGGATTCTGCTCCACAGTTCCGTGATTTTGAATTTAAGGTATGTATAACGCAGATATAGTTCAGAGTCAGTGTTGTCTTCGATATACTTGTCCACAAGGTCTGTGGTATCAAATGAAAAGGGAAAACGGTTTTTATTTGCTTTTAAGTCAAAGTAAGCAAAAGTATTAAGCAAAGACTGCATCATGTCCACCATTGATAGTGTTTGGTCTTCTGTAGCTCTTCTTCTTCTAAATGTTATTAATTCTCAGTTATGAAGTGTGAATTAATATGATTAGATGACCAGGGCATGTAGCATGAATGTGGAGAAGAGAAATGCACATAGGAGATCAGTGGGAAAGCCAGAAGGAAAGAGACCTCTAGGAAGACCAAGACTTAGGTGGGTGGATAATATTAAAATGGAACTTAGAGGGATAGGGTGGGGTGGTATGGACTGGATCAATCTGGTCCAGGATAGGGACCAGTGGAGGGCTCTTGTGAACACACTAAGGAACTTTGGGCTCCATAAAATGTTGGGAATTTCTTGAGTAGCTATGCAATTGGTGGCTTCTCAAGAAGGGCTCAGCTCCATGAAGTTAGTTAATTAGATTACCCTAATTAATTTGTGTTGATAAGATGATTCTATTTTTACAAGTGTTTATCTCCAGTAAGTAGTAAAGGTGAAGGTAAAGTTGTTCCTGTGCTTAATTAATGAAGCACTACACCATAAAGGTGTGTGGGAGAGTGGAAGTACAGCTACACCATTCTTGACCTTGGTATTAGAAAGAGGTGAGCGGTCATCTCCATGACCTGGCCAATTTACTCCTGGGGAAAGAGCTCTCATTTGCTGTTAGATAGGCTGGATGAGCCCCAGAGCTGGATGCTATGGACAGAGAAAAATTTCTTACCACTACCAGGAATTGAACCCAGCCTGTAGTCCATCACTATACTGCCTGAGCTAGCCAATACAACATATACAAACACAGGAGTTTTAAGTTGACTCTTTCAGCTTTGATTCTTTGTTACTTTGTATTGCTGTCAGCGACTCTGAATGTACAGGGTCAAATAGTAGAATAGTAGTGAATGATGAATTGGAAAGGATATTGAAGGAAGTAACCACGATCTAATTGATGTAGTATTCTGGCATAGGCCTGGAGGGGCTGAAGAGAACCATGAAAAACCTTATTCAGGATAATCTATGCCTCAGCTTAAATTAGAATGGAGCACCTCCCAGGCAAAATTTAGAATGTTACTGGTACACCAATTTGATCTGTCTTTTTTAACTTTTTTTATTTAAATTATTAAATATTTTATTATTACCTAGGGTAACCTTGTTTCAAATTCAGTATTGCACTTACTGTGATACTCTGTCAGTAGTTAGATACTCTGAGAAAATAATACAACACATGCAGTTACAGTTCTTATTTGTCATCTGTTACAATAATTCCTCAAGTATTTAATTTGTAGCAGAATTCTACACTAATTTTTATACTTGTGATTGTTGTATTTGTTTCTTGAAGCATTTAACTTCCAGTGATATTCTGCATGTATTTTATGCGTTATTTGCAGGAACGTATGTTTGTGTCCATAACGGACCTGATTACCCTGTGCACCCTTCTTGCCATCTCTCCTGCAGTGAGGGAAGCAGCAGCCCTCTTAGCACGTGGAGATAAGAGAGAGATTGCTGTGTTACATGTAAGAAATTTACAGCACATTACATTGATGTAAAAAATTTATGTCATATTTATATCTTATTTGTGATTTGAGGTTCCCACAGCATTGACCATGAAGAGTGCTATCTTTCTGGATGTGACACCATGTAGGAAAAGATGAAGGCCAGCCAGGAACAAGTGAGAACCAAAATGAAGGCTGGCCGAGAATAGATGAAAGCCTGCCAGGAAAAGATAGAGGCTAAGGTAGAGACCAGTCAGGAGAAGATGGAGGCATATTAAGAAAAGATAGAGGCCAGTCAAGAAAAGATAGAGGCCAAGGTGGAGGCCTATCAAGAAATAATAGAGGCCAGTCAGGAACAAGTGAGAACCAAAATGAAGGCTAGCAAAGAGGAATGGAGACCACAATAAAGAGTGTCAAAGAAGAAATGAAAGTAACAGTGGGAGTCAGTCAAGAGAAGATGGAGGTTGCGATAAACTCCATTCAGTCTGAGCTGGAAGAGACCATAAAAAAAATTGTGTGGAGGATATTGTGTCCTCTGTTAATGAATGGGCACTGGGCCTCTGCAAGGAACTCAATGCAGAGATTGAAGAAACGCAGCTGAGCTTACAAACGTCCATCAATACATGGACTAAGAACCTCCGTGAATAACTCGATGCAGAGAGCCTAGAGACTGTAATCGACATGCATGCAAACAGTGAGACCCTAGTAAAGACCTTGTGGTGTTTTCTTGAGAACAGACTAATGGAGTTGAAGCCTGAGCTGATCATGGATGTGGCATTAGTATGAGAAATGATGTAGGTAGAGTAAAGACACCAAAATTCAGTGGGTCTGCATCTTTTTCCCTAAGGTGGGAATCAAGAATATTTGTGTATATATGACTTACGGGATGGTACAGTTTCTGCAAAGTTTGCCCTGAAGCAGAACTTGGTGTAGGAAGAAGTGAAGCCAGAACTAAAAGTGGGACTTAGGAACTTAGATATAGTTTGTCATGTGGAATAAATAATTCAGAAAACAATAAAACAACCCTCTCCTCTTAATTAAATTAATAATGCCATAGCACAGTTCTGCTCATTTAGTTTTCTGTTACTTGGGATATACTTATTTGATATTTATGAGTCAGTGTTTCAGGCTTAAGGGTCTTAAAATCTTATTGTTTTATTATAATATTGCTAGTGGCTAATAAGTTTTACTATGAAGGCACATTCTGCTTCATCATTTTGGTATGTCCAGAATTTCCAACTCCTTGTGGCAAAAATTGAGCGTGATGCAGTATGGTGGTTGCATGAAACTGTCCCTAGGATGTATCGACCCAGTGCGGCTGAATTTGTCCATGCTCTTCACAAGGTAATTTAGAATGGTATTAGTCATTTTTAGACTGTTTGGATTTCGAAGTCTTAGGCAGTTCCACATATTGATTTCAGATTTTAATTTTAAAGTTAAGAGAATGTGATATTGTGTTTGGGGTCTTGTCTGCATAATGCAGAACCACCATTTTGATTGAATAAATCTAATTAGATTTAATATTGGTATAGTTTCCAACATTCATTAACCAGGTCCAATCTGTTCATGTAGTTATGTTTGGAGCATCCCTTGAAATCCCCAGCTATGAGACTGTTCCTCCAGCCATCCTATGTGCATGACATGAATATATCCACACATTTGCAGTGTAAAGTGTAATATCAGCAGGTTTTGAACTATTTTGTATGGACAGTGTCTTTCATGTCACTAGTTACAGCTTATTTCAGTGGAAGATCCATGTTTGTGTGATGTATAACACAATTTATGTTTTTCACGTTCATTCCATAAGAAATAATACAAAAAGAACAAGAACACATACCAGTGTTAAGGCTAGTGGAAATGTGTCCAGAGAATTTAGAATTGTTATTTGGCAAACATTTTCAGCTCTCCTGTAGTACCTCTATTTTGAAGTTGTTACATAACATGAACCTAGTGGAATACATAATTTTGAATCTGACTTTATAAATGTTGATTTTGAGTAGGTTTTGTTCATGGAACACCCAGAGCAGTATTATAATCGTGACATGTGGCCACCAGAAAATGATCGTCCTTTGATGTTTCGGTTGGCTTCAGATGTGCCAGTTTTGCAGAACACCCTTATTCGTATATTTGTCATAGGATTATCAAAGGTAATTACGATACATGTTCTTTCAGTAAAAGCTTATTATGTTATTAACTTATTATTATTATTATTATTATTATTATTATTGCTTTTGAATGTAGTGGTAAAAGAATAAGATTTCCAGTGGAAGTAGAGAATTTTCTCTTTACTGTTGTATCCAAGCTGACTTCGGGTTCAGCCTCTCATTCAAGGGAACCAGGAGCTCTCTCTCCTGGGATAAATTTGCAATGGCATGAAACTGACTATTTGCTTCCATCTAGTGTTGAGTGTAAAATTGCATGGAGCTGTACCTCCAGTGCTTCGTACATCATAGCATGGTGCTTAATTAATTAAGCACAGGAGCAACTTTACCTTAAAATACACTATCAGTTTTACATTTGATCAGCTCATTACACCAGCTATACTCGTATCTAAAGGAGGAGGTGTTTGTATAGAATTATATTTCATGTGTGCTCTGCAATGCTTCTCCAAGTTTCTCATTACAGTTATTCAATTTTAGGACATTTTCCATCGTCCTGTCCTTTTTAGTAAAAACAGGATGATGGCTAGTGTCCAAAAAGTCAACAATTGTATTAATATAACATTGTCACAGATTTTTAGGTCTTAGTTTGTCTTCCTTAACAGAACCAATATTGTCATTTCTTTTTACCTCTGACACTTTCTGTTTTCATTTTCAGGACCACCCTCTGGCACCTCCAGACACTTTGGAATTAACCGATCAGCTTTTGAAGAGGGCAGCTGCTCAATCATCAGAAAGTGTTCCCATGTTGCAAGCTGATAAACTTGATATCATTGACCTTGTCTTTAATTTGAGTGCATATCATCATCCAGATAATATCAATCTTCCTGCTGGGTAAATTTTTAAGTTACTGTCTCATATTTTAATGTAATTCCATTGATTGTTTTAACCTTTTAAGAACGAACTTTCTTGCATCCTTTGTATGTATAAATATTTTATTTTTAATTGTCCTTATGTCCTAATAATTTGATAACTGCATGTTTTATGTTTAATTGTGTTTAATCCCCAGGATTAAGGCCTCCTCACTTGGTATAAAAGATCATCAATGCTCTGTGTATTGGTAGTGACCAGTGATATTATAATAGTGGTCCTTCAGAAGATGGCCACTCTGACCGAAACATGTAAAGGGTGAATTATTAAAGAAAGAAAGAAAAATACATGTATCAACCACACTGGATGGTGTTGTTGATCTTTTATACTACTGTTTGTGTGACAGAGCAGGATAAAACCAAGTCACTTGGCCTTTCTTCTTGTATTCACTGGCTAGTCATAATTGAATATGGCTGGAAGCGATCATTTCCATGCCTGTATATCAGAGATTACTTCTTAAAATGATACATGACTTCAACTATTGACATTATCTGTGTTACTAGTACTTTTATTGATCATTGACCATTCTCACTGAATTATCAGCCATACAGGAATTGTCAAAAACAGAGGCAATTAAATTTATATTCTGTAATATACGCTGGTTCTGAGATTATATTTCTTATTTTGCTGACATTAAATGAAATTGGTTTGTTCTTTCAGTATTCTGTATTATTTTTCATATTATTTTTCTTTGATAATTGAAAGTCAGTGTATGATTTATGTATTTATAATGTTTTCTGGATATTACGTGTATCTGACTTTTTGTGGTCTGTTGTACATATTTTAACACTCTCCATAAACTTTTGTTTCTTTATGTCAGCCTTAATTGTATGTAAATACTGGAATTTTTGCATAATTTCTGCAGATACTGTCCACCTCAGTTAGCTATAGCCAACTTGTACTGGAAAGGCTGGATTATGCTACTAATCCTGTCAGCTCATAATCCAACTACATTTGGAAGTGTAGCTTGGGAGAAATACCCTACACTGCGCACATTGATGGAAATGTGTATTACTAAGTAAGTTGCAGCAAGCACCATGAATGTATCTATTTTTGTTATATTAGCATTGTCGGTATAGAAGTGGCATAAAATGTATAAACTGAAAAATATTCATGCTGCCATTATTTATGTTATTATCTGTACACACAAATGTCAGACAAAACGTGAGTAAGTAAGTTTGCATCAAAAAAAGGTTATGAACTGAAGTTGTGATTAAAGTTTATTGATAATTTACATTTAACACACAGAAAAAAAAAAAAGAATAAAAGGTCCCCTGTCTTAGAAAAATAAAAACTAACAGAAAATTTGATTTGTTTCAATCTGGTTCATCACACTAATATTATGAAAAGCAAAATAATTCTGTTCATTGTGACTATTTAAGATTTTCTTATTTCAATTATTCATGCCCTCACATGTTTTGGTCTTCAGAGACCATCTTCAGAGGGTCACCTTTACATCAATACAGTTAGAAGCCACTATTACAGTACATGTTCTAAATGTAGTTGTAAAGACTTTAGATTTTACAGCCAATTGTATATTATTTATATTATATATATATATATATATATTTTAACTTTAGAACATGTATTGTAATAGTGGCTTCTAACTGTATTGATGTAAAGGTGACCCTCTGAAGATGGTCTCTGAAGACCAAAACATGTGAGGGTGTGAATAATTGAAATAAGAAAATCTTAACCAGTCACACTGAACGGAACCATTAGGCTTCTTCATAACAGAAAATTTTTTATAATGCAACAGTGCTATTACTAGACTTGAGGGAATATGTATGCACTTTCTAAACTTCATTGTGAGGTTTTTTTCCAAAGTATTCCTGATGCAGAGTATATCGGCAAACTGTATCCGTACAGTGTCGGATATGTCTGGATCGAACCCCTGGCTGTTCAGCCCATCACAGTACTGACTGAGCTAACCTGGCTTCATGGTATGAGTGATACATTGAAATGTGTGTTTAGTTTAATGGAGCAAGGAATTGTAATGCAGGTGTGATTCATATGTGTCCCCTGTAAGTAATTTAAATAAACACACCACACATTGTTTAATACAATGTGTATTTTCATGTTCAGTCACTTCACGTATCCTCCACCTACAATTGCCATGGGTGAGCAAGTGGAAGAGACAAAAGCTAAGGAACTGCAAATAGCTGCACTTGAGAAACAGCAAATTCTTGAATTTGAGTCATATCTTGCTGCAGCATCTACCAAGCAGACCATCACTGAGCAAACCAGCCTTTTGCTTACACAGGTGAGAATTCTCTACATATGTAACCACAGTGATCTTTCGTTCTCCACAAAGTGTATACCATGTAATATGAATGCTGGCACTGCAGTATCCATCGTACCATAAGATATATGGAGATTCAGGATCTCCATTGGCCTGTTATCCTGTTTTCTTTATGTGTTGTGGCTTCTTAAGAATATGTTCCGTTAATATTTCTCCACAACTTGTGGGATTAGTAATTCATTCTGTTTATAACACTATCATGTCATTGAATTCTCAGATATCCATGGTAATGAAGCGGAGAAATAGTATGGATAATTAAAAACAACCAGTTATCCTGGAAATATCAGCAACCCATGCCACATTGAATCTCTTAGTATTATGTACTTACTGCCTTTGCTACTGGCCACTAAACAGTGAGACGAATATCATTCCAATAGAATAAACAGACCCTTTGGTGATAAAATAATAAAGTAATGAAATATGTTTCAACATGGTGCATAGTATCTCCTGGTGTATAACACCATGTAGTCCATTGAAAGTGAATTGATGTTTCGGAGCAGAACAGAGCTCTGCTTGCTACCTATTTCATGCTGGTTTCCTGCTTGGCTTATTCCTTGATCCTGAAGATGGAGGTGTATTGCAAGTTGAATCTCATGATTTTATCTGTATAAATGTTGCAGGATATGTACAGTGTTATAGTTTTAATCCTATGATTTTATATGAATAATTGTCCTGGTTTATATGTATTGTTAGTGATGGTTGTCATTAAGAATATAGTATGGGAATTTGATGACTTTGGAATGTTATATGAATTCATAAAATCAGATTGGAATGCTGTTAATGTTTTTTGTTGCTTTTTCTTACTTGCATGTATGAAATTCTTTATCCATTTTCTATCAGATCTCAAAACTCTAGTGCTGTGTCTGGTAAGTGGAGCTATGTATGTCTTATAATCATTTCTTTATTATAGTTGATAACAATGGATCCCACTGGGCCCCCACGTAAACCTCCACAAGCTGTTTTAGAGCAACTTCAGTCACTCAATTCAACACATCGGATGGGTCATCTGTTGTGTCGAAGTCGACATCCAGACTTCCTTTTGGATATCATTCAACGTCAAGGAGCATCTCAGTCTATGCCATGGTTGGCTGACTTGGTAGAAAGTTCAGAAGGAGCCTTAAGGTAAGTCATGTATGTCAGTTTGTAATTTTAAATGTGAAAACTAGTGGCATGTTCAGTAATTATTTTGGTATTAAATGCAGTAATATATATGTATGTATGCATGTTGCTGTAGTTCTTCTGTTTTAAAATGGTGGACAGTACTTGTGAATGGGCCACAGTTTGTTTCTGTGAGTAGTCACTGTAACATTGTGTGTTGTATAAAGTTGTTACATAATATTATAAATACTTCGTATGTAATACCTTAATCATATTTGAGTGTTAGGCATTTGTAAGGAATTATATTGTCATATGTTAGACTGATTCTCGATGGGGTTTGGACTGGATATTGGATTTATTGACCATTTAAAGATTCTAACAACAAATAACTGTGACAGTCTCACAGAATTACACACTCCAAATATCACTACATTGCACATAAAATCTCTGTTTTCACTAGATGTTTCCTGGTCATGGATTTTAACAGTGGAGACTCTTCAGCTTCTCTGCTAACTGCACCAACTAAGTCCTCTGCTCACATACTCTCTTACAATTCTCTCAGTGCTTCAACTGACTAACTCCCCGGCTGGCAGCCATTTCACACCAACTTTCTAGTCTTCTCTTCACAGCCTGACTTTCAGTTTACTGTAGCTCGGCTGGTATCCTTGTTATATAACCCCTATTGGTCAGGCTGAGTAGAAAACACGATTTCCAACAATTCCTTTATTGGTGTAATTCTGCTGTTGCTTGTTAAGAATGTGCTGCTTAGCAATGACCCTTGTCTTCCTGTTTGTTTTGCGGTCATTGCCTAGAATCAGGTCTGTACACCACAATATCATAGAATCTTCGGTTTCCTTTTACCTGCATAACCAAGCAACTTTCAGAGCCATAGGCTTTCATTTGTATGGTTACCAATGTTACGCATTGTGTGCCTCTGTGGAGTTTGCTGAATTTAAATTGAAAAGATTTTTATAGTAAGTAAAGTAAGTAAAGCTATCGCTGTAAGAGGCCGTGAAAGCTCATAGGGTTATGAGACAGCAGCATAAATTATCATATGTTTATACAGGAAATTGAATGTGGAATGTAATGTACTTATTCTATTAAAATTTCATTGTATATACTCATAACGTTACATGTTGACATTCTTTTGTCCCTGTTGCAGCCACCTCCCTGTGCAGTGCTTGTGTGAGTTTCTGCTGAGTTCTGGCACTTTGCTGCAGCCTGAAAAGCAGCATAAACACCAACAGCTATTGGAGCATTTACAGTCAGTGCTGACTGATGTGAAGCAGGACCCTCAAGCCCCATGTGAAGTGTTAGAGTACTTCCTGAGAAGGTTGAGCTCACCCCAGGCTGCCAGCAGAGCACAGGCTATTAAAGTAAGCATAAACAGTAATTACAGGACTTCACTGTACAGCCAACCATCAAAATCAGTTTGTTCCTCACATGTAAGTGAGCAAGTTGGGTCAAACATTAACACTTCTGACTTGTATGTGGAAGCTACCCAGTTAAAATCTCTGCCAGGACACTGACTATGCTGATTGAGCATTTTCTGTGGTTTCCCTAGTCCCTCCAGGCAAATCCTTGCATAGTAGCTTAGATAAAGCTGCAACTATTTTCTCTCATATTCTTTGTACATTGATATTTACTGTCATCCAGTCTTTCAGAACTGTATAGTTCAAGTCACTGATGCCATCATTAAGTAAACTACAAATGTAGAAGTCACACATGAACCTATGCTGTACATTATTCAGCCAACTACAGAGTCTTCTTTCTTTCAGGGTTTAAAGTTGGTGTTATCTTCTGTCGCAATGGAAGAGGAGGCCATGGAAATAGACAACCAGCAAGATCCTAATGGTGACAAGTAAGATATGTGACTTGCCCAAGGATGTCTGTACTTACCTGAACCTCTCATAATGTAATAGTACTTCTACATGAAATAAATTCAGTTATACTCATTGGAACATGTTTGTTCATAAATTTGCAAACGGGCATATTGAAATCAAAATATTTGCAATTTAAGTTGTACTTTTCTTACATTTTAGCTCATGGCTACTTCGTCAGCTGCCTCTGTTGCCACACTTCCGTGCTGTGCGCCCACAGGTGGTCCAAGCCCTGCGGCAAGCCTGCCAAGTGGAGAATGACCCAGCATTAGTCAGTAGTTATATCTACTTCTTGGCTCTTCACACAACACATGACAGTCTGCCTGAACTGGCTGATCTAGTTCTGGTGAGTTGGCTGCTAGGAGAATAAGAACAGCACGTCTCATCATGTGGTCCATGGACCACTTCCATTGTGACTGGCCAAGTAATAATGATGACTCCAGAAATATTTGTGCTTAGTTGCTGTTAGAAAGTAAGGCCATGTTACAAACCCAGATTAATGCAAGACAGATGGTGTATCTGACTACTGAAATTATTTCATATGGTCTTGTATATAATTTTTAGTTTTAATATGGAAGTGAATATTAAACATATGAAGAAAACTGCTTTCTTCATAGTCACCGCTGTGAAAGCCTCAAATCTTACAATATTAAACATAGTTGAAAAGTGTGGACTGGAAAAATCTGGCTCAACATAGGTTCCAGTGCCAACCTCTTGTGAACAAAATAATGAACCTTCAGGTTTCCTGAAAGGTGTGGGGTTTCTTGAATATCTGAGTGACTTATTTTCTAAAGAAGGGCTCTCCTCCATTTGAGTTAGTTTAGTTAGTGGAATGTTCAGTGTAGATCATTGGAACGTTTATTCATATTTAATACCACATAAAGCGGTCATTTTCATATTTTAATAAATATGTTCTTCATACTAATAACACAGGCCAACAGCTGTTTTGGTGCCAGGGTATTTGGAGCTGATTTCATATGAATTTGATGCCCTGAATTCAAATATGGCAATAGTTTTTGCCTAGGAGCTCAAATTTTTAAGATATAACATTTTGGTGAAATATACGTTACACTATTTTAAGTTAAATCAGTGGATCAAATAAAAAAACTCAACATGGAATTTTTATTACTATATTATAATTATATTTTTATTTTATTATATTAAATACAAAGATAGAGGAAAAAATCATCGACTATATATAACAGTCAAACCAACTATAGTCACGGAACACTACGGAAGCTTCTTTTTCGTGAATTTCTTGAATGTATTTTAGAACAGTCCCTTTTTAAACTCCAGCAGTAATCTGCCATCATGTGTGTATCCCATCTTCCTTGGTAGCGGTCCTCCATAGTTTTAATATCCTGGTGAAATCTTTCACCTTGTTCCTCACTGGTGTCTCCTAAATTTTCAGGAAAACTATCTAAGTGACTGTGTAAATAGTGCACCTTAATGCTCATGTTACAGCCAAGGGATTTGAAACTGTTAAGCATCTCGTTTACCAGTTCAACATAGTTTTCAGCTTTGTGTTTGCCCAGAAAATTTTCGACAACTGCAACAAATGAAGTCCAGGCTTTTCGCTCAGCCTCGTTCATCGAATTTGCGAAGGCAGGATCCTTAATGAGTTGTCTTATTTGTGGGCCGTCAAATATTCCTGCTTCAATTTTTTCCGTACTCAACTGAGGCATTTTCATTTCTATATATGCAAAGCATGATCCGTTCTTATCAAGGGCCTTTACAAACTGCTTCATAAGGCCCAACTTGATATGCAGTGGAGGAAAGATGATTTTCTCTCGTCTAACTAAGGGATCGTTAATGATATTCTTCTCCCCAACGTACATGTTTTCTCTCTTGGGCCATTCTTTTCTAACCCAGTGGTGTGTTTTGTCTCTGCTATCCCAGAGGCACAAAAAGCAGGGATATTTGGTGTAACCACTTTGCTGTCCAAGGAGAAAATTTACCATTTTTAAGTCCACACAAATCACCCATTGATGTTCATGATACTTTATCTTCTCTAAGACCAAAGCTATGGTGTTATATTCTTCTTTCATTTTCGTGGAGTGAGCAATTGGTATTGAACCATATTTGTTTCCATTGTGTAGAAGGACACATTTCAAACTTCGCTTTGAGCTGTCAATAAATAGGCGCCAATCATCGGGAAAATATTCAGGAAGAGCCATTTTTTCCAAGAGTCCTCTAATTTCGTGACAATATACAAGATTGTAATCTTGAGAGAAGAAGGGTAGCAGATCCGTTTCTCTTGTGCGGTAAAAGGAAATTTTGGTTTCTTGTTCCAGTAAATTTTTGTCGTTCAACCTAGAAGCCAGTAATTCAGAAGCTTCTTTTGACAGGTTGAGATCTCTGATGAGGTCATTTAACTCATCCTGGTTAAAACGTTGAGGGATTGACGACATCCCTTCATAATCACTGTCACCTTCATTACAATCAGAAGGGTGATTAGAGGGAAAATACTCATCCTCACAGAGCTCTGGTAGCTGGTGAAACGTTGGGATCAGTACTTCTGATCTAAAAAAGTAGAGCTGGTAGAGAAAAACTGATTTTATATTTAGATTCAGCGCCTTAAATATAACTAAAATTAGTTCTAAAATCCTAGACACCAAAAAAAAATTTTTTTTTTGAAGGCCTGTGTAATAGTTATATTTATAGCAGACTATTAATTTAATCTCTGCTGTCAGGCTGATGCGATATTGATCCTCTTAAAATTTGGCTGCTGTTGCATTGGACCATGAAAGAGAAGATACATGAAACCACTGCTCTAGAAAAGGATGTTTTTGAGCACTAAATTGAAAAAAAGAAGTATGAGATTGAAAGAAAATAGTTTGATAGATGGGCTGGAGCTATAAAAATTGAATGCTAAAATAAGGGAATCTTTAATTTAAGGAATAATAAATAAAAGATGTTTTGCTGTAGTGTGATCTTGTGCTTAAAAATAAGAAAACTCATGATAAGGTGCATGACAATTTCCTTCTCACAGCAGAGTACAGATAAATGAGGCAAAGTTGCCCCTGTGCTTAACTAATTAAACACTATGCCATGAAGACATATGGGAGAGTGGATATAGAGACCCACATCTTTTTGACTTCGCACTAGTTGGACAACAGAATACAGATATCTATGGTAAATAAATGTGGCAAGTTGTACAAAACTTTGTTGCATATTTTATCAGCAAGCTTTATATACTTTTTTGAAATTAAATTGTATCAGTCATTATTTTAATAAATAACTGAAAGAGGGAAGACTTGTAGTGTCCCATCTTTATGGATTATTTTGTTGTTTTTAAACTTGGAATCGTTTTGATATTATGTATAAATTGTGCTAGGAGCAGAATTATAAATGTTTTCTTTCACAGGACATGGCTCAACTAATTGTGGAAAGAAGTTCGATCATTGCAGCGATCTTGCCAGCAACAGACCATGACATTCCTGGAGCTCTCAGCACACAGAATGCCCTTATGCTTATGTTCTGCTCATACCTACAAAAGGTGATGTACCTAACACTTATGTAAGTAGTCAGATCAGATGCAAATGTAATATTATTTAAATACTGTATTCAGAACATTATTGTCTGTGTCATCTTTATTTTATTTAACATGATTAGTCAAGGTGTGTTACTTCTAGAATGATGACAAAAGTCTCTATAGTGATACTGCTACAGGAAAAGAGATACAGTAAAGAAATTTGTAAATTATGAAGGCAAGGAAATAGGAAGGATTTGTTGAAGGTATGAGGAAATGTCAGTAGATAATTGTGCCCCAATTTGTTTGGGATGTGAGGATTGATTGCTAGGAGAGCATGCAGCCATAGCATTAGAATTTATGATTCACTCATTCACTCATTCATTATGAAACCGTCTAATATAATGTTACGGTTCTCAGCATGAATTAAATCATAGCAGTTATATGAAATGGTCATTAGGGATGCAGGTATGTAACCTTTTGTTAATTTAGTGCCGTAAGATTGATAAGCAGTATTACCAGTGGGTTACATCATTCTGATGACAAAAGTTACTGATATCATTAGATGTTTTCAGGCAAGAGAACCCAGACGGGAGGCCTATACATGGTCTGAAAGCCAGGATCAGATTTTGGTGACTTGGAGCACAGGAGAGGAGTCAACAATGCACATTCTGGTGGTGCATGCCATGATCATCTTGCTGAACTATGGGCCAGGCCAGGGTATGCATTACAAGAAGTTTTAATTATGTACTTTAGTGTGGTGTTCGCTAATGTAATTTAGTATGAGTTATTGTCATGAGCACTTATTCAATAATTTATTTTTTATCATATGTATTTTGATGTGTAAGCGATCATCAATGCTTTCTTTACAAAATAGCAAAATAGGTTAGTGTCTATTATACAAAATTCAGCTTAATGCAGTGCATTCTTTTGCATAATATATTGTCACGTGTTTGGGTGTATATAACATGACAAATAACTTCACGCCTTATTTGATATAGCGAATTTATTCCACTCTCTCTTACAATCACACAATTTGCAATCTGACAATTACTGCCATTGGCAGTATCACAAATACTCCGACGAAAGATAGACAGCTATTGACTGGTTAACTGACTCACTGCTGACTAACTCGTAACTCGTAACTGCTGCCTTGAGAACTGTCTTCGGCAGCTGCTACACTGAGAACTGTCTTCGGCGGCTGTGTAGTTCCCTTATAAACCCTCAGCCGGACAACGGGAAACGCCTCGCTTCCTTGTTGCTTAGTCACCATGTGCTGATAGCCTAGCAACGCTGTTGGGAGTTGTTTATGACTATGTAGTAACTGAGGCGTTCCGTGTTATGTCACCGCTGTTTACTCGCTTTGCCTAGCAACCGCTGTGCTTGGACTCGGCTCCACTCGGCTGGCGGGGGTGAGGGGCATCCACCATAGGACAACACGTCACACTGCTCCCTCCTTAAGGCTGCTTCTCCCAAATAGCCTAACGGTGCACCCCCGTTCCTTTTCTTTAGAAGTTGTGCTTTCTGCGTCTCCTGTTTCGGCTACTCCTTGCAGCGACTATTATCCGGCTGTTACAACCACTCCCCTCTTAAGACCAGCTCGTCTCGAGCGGTTTCCTGCTACGTGCCCGAAGATCTAGTTGTATCACATTCATCCTTCACTTTCATTCTTTCTTCTTTCACTCTTGCTAGGGAGGCCGGTGTTTCTTCATTACTGGCTCCTCCTATGTACTATTCCATTTTTTTCGTTTTGGAAGGGGTTGACCCCTCCACAAGGCCCAATACTTGAACATTACTTTCTTCAGAAATTTCCTTTGTCGACGTAACGGTGTGGCCTGCACTCGCTGACGTCGTTCCTCCTGGTCTTCCAGCCGCTTTCTGGTACGAGACCGTGGCGCCAAGTCCTTTCTCCGTCATCCAAAGGTTCCCTGGCGAGTTTCCTTCTTGAAGGCATTTCTCCAACGTCGTGCCCCTGTCGCGCGATGGGATATCTTCCTGCAGGTGGAAGCCGACTTCATCTGGGATTCATAATCTCTTCCAGTCCAACATTTCCTGAAGATGTTCCTTCGACGCCATGCCACTGTTGCATGGCGGGACACCTTCCTGCTGGTTTTCTTCTGCTGTGCCATTTCCACACAGCGGCTCGTCGCTCTGCGAGCTACGGCCAACTCCTTCTGGAGTCCACAACTTCCCCGTATCGGATTCTTCATGTTTCGCTGATGTCGGTCCCTACGCCTTTTCTTCTTCAGTTCTCCAACTGGCATTACTTCAGCGTCTTCTACGGGTACCTCTCGTTGGTCGGCCGCCTCAGGTTTCACGTCCAATGAGGCCAGCTCTTCTTCTTGTAGACGTGCTTCCATCTCTTGGCAGGCCATAGTCTTGTTGTGGTTGGCATTCACCCTTTTGTCTCTCCTGGCAGCCATATCTTCTTGCCATGCCTTCATATTGGTCTGTCTGTTAACCTCCAATTTGACCAGGAAATCTTCTCTCTCTCTTTTTGTATTGGCCTCCATTCTGTCTTGCATCTGCGCTTGGTCGGCATCTGCTTTTACTTGGATTGCCCTCATTTCTTTCAGCATATCCTCTTTGTCAGCTTTCCTATTGGCATCTGATTTTGCCAGGAAATCCTTATAGTCGGATCTCCTGTTGGCGTCCATTCTTGCCAGCATTTCCATCATCTTCTGCATCTCCATTTTGTTGCACTAAAATACTCAATGCACAATAATTCAATTATTTGTTGAGGAGTGTTTAAGTTCGTAAACAATTCTGACACCAAATGTAACGTGTTTAGTTACTGAAACTTGTTGGTCACGTGTGTAAGTCCAATCCCACTTCTGACACCAGTTGTCATGTGTTTGGGTGTATATAATGTGACAAATAACTTCACGCGTTATTTGATATAGCAAATTTATTCCACTCGCTCTTACAAACGCACAATTTACAGATTCACAATTACTGCCATTGGCAGTATCACAAATACTCCGACGAAAGATAGACAGCTATTGACTGGTTAACTGACTCACTGCTGACTAACTCGTAACTCGTAACTGCTGCCTTGAGAACTGTCTTCGGCAGCTGCTACACTGAGAACTGTCTTCGGCGGCTGTGTAGTTCCCTTATAAACCCTCAGCCGGACAACGGGAAACGCCTCGCTTCCTTGTTGCTTAGTCACCATGTGCTGATAGCCTAGCAACGCTGTTGGGAGTTGTTTATGACTATGTAGTAACTGAGGCGTTCCGTGTTATGTCACCGCTGTTTACTCGCTTTGCCTAGCAACCGCTGTGCTTGGACTCGGCTCCACTCGGCTGGCGGGGGTGAGGGGCATCCACCATAGGACAACACGTCACACTGCTCCCTCCTTAAGGCTGCTTCTCCCAAATAGCCTAACGGTGCACCCCCGTTCCTTTTCTTTAGAAGTTGTGCTTTCTGCGTCTCCTGTTTCGGCTACTCCTTGCAGCGACTATTATCCGGCTGTTACAACCACTCCCCTCTTAAGACCAGCTCGTCTCGAGCGGTTTCCTGCTACGTGCCCGAAGATCTAGTTGTATCACATTCATCCTTCACTTTCATTCTTTCTTCTTTCACTCTTGCTAGGGAGGCCGGTGTTTCTTCATTACTGGCTCCTCCTATGTACTATTCCATTTTTTTCGTTTTGGAAGGGGTTGACCCCTCCACAAGGCCCAATACTTGAACATTACTTTCTTCAGAAATTTCCTTTGTCGACGTAACGGTGTGGCCTGCACTCGCTGACGTCGTTCCTCCTGGTCTTCCAGCCGCTTTCTGGTACGAGACCGTGGCGCCAAGTCCTTTCTCCGTCATCCAAAGGTTCCCTGGCGAGTTTCCTTCTTGAAGGCATTTCTCCAACGTCGTGCCCCTGTCGCGCGATGGGATATCTTCCTGCAGGTGGAAGCCGACTTCATCTGGGATTCATAATCTCTTCCAGTCCAACATTTCCTGAAGATGTTCCTTCGACGCCATGCCACTGTTGCATGGCGGGACACCTTCCTGCTGGTTTTCTTCTGCTGTGCCATTTCCACACAGCGGCTCGTCGCTCTGCGAGCTACGGCCAACTCCTTCTGGAGTCCACAACTTCCCCGTATCGGATTCTTCATGTTTCGCTGATGTCGGTCCCTACGCCTTTTCTTCTTCAGTTCTCCAACTGGCATTACTTCAGCGTCTTCTACGGGTACCTCTCGTTGGTCGGCCGCCTCAGGTTTCACGTCCAATGAGGCCAGCTCTTCTTCTTGTAGACGTGCTTCCATCTCTTGGCAGGCCATAGTCTTGTTGTGGTTGGCATTCACCCTTTTGTCTCTCCTGGCAGCCATATCTTCTTGCCATGCCTTCATATTGGTCTGTCTGTTAACCTCCAATTTGACCAGGAAATCTTCTCTCTCTCTTTTTGTATTGGCCTCCATTCTGTCTTGCATCTGCGCTTGGTCGGCATCTGCTTTTACTTGGATTGCCCTCATTTCTTTCAGCATATCCTCTTTGTCAGCTTTCCTATTGGCATCTGATTTTGCCAGGAAATCCTTATAGTCGGATCTCCTGTTGGCGTCCATTCTTGCCAGCATTTCCATCATCTTCTGCATCTCCATTTTGTTGCACTAAAATACTCAATGCACAATAATTCAATTATTTGTTGAGGAGTGTTTAAGTTCGTAAACAATTCTGACACCAAATGTAACGTGTTTAGTTACTGAAACTTGTTGGTCACGTGTGTAAGTCCAATCCCACTTCTGACACCAGTTGTCATGTGTTTGGGTGTATATAATGTGACAAATAACTTCACGCGTTATTTGATATAGCAAATTTATTCCACTCGCTCTTACAAACGCACAATTTACAGATTCACAATTACTGCCATTGGCAGTATCACAAGTACTCCGACGAAAGATAGACAGCTATTGACTGGTTAACTGACTCACTGCTGGCTAACTCATAACTTGTAACTGCTGCCTTGAGAACTGTCTTCGGCGGCTGCTACACTGAGAACTGTCTTCGGCGGCTGTGTAGTTCCCTTATAAACCCTCAGCCGGACAGTGGGAAACGCCTCGCTTCCTTGTTGCCTAGTCGCCATGTGCCGATAGCCTAGCAACGCTGTTGGGAGTTGTTTACGACTATGTAGCGACTGCGGCGTCCCATGTTATGTCACTGCTGTTTACTTGCTTTGCCTAGCAACCACTGTGCTTGGACTCGGCTCACTTCGGCTCCGCTCGGCACGTCACCGCTGGTGGGTGGGGGAGGGGTGTCCTCCATAGCGCAACACATCACAATATGAATTGTTTTGCATAATATACATAATATTGAGTTGTTTGTATAAATACATAAAAGTTATTTGCTTTTTATTTGGTAATTTAAAATGACAATCCATTTAACATCATTATACTTGTATGTGAAGTTATTTTTTATTTAATGTTGAAACTCCTGTTTAAGATTTCCTTGGAAAACAGAAGATCTAAACACTAAACGGAAGAAAATCTTAAATGGAGGTGATTTAACATTGAGATTATTGACATGGGGTTATTGAAAGGATATATTACATGAAGGAGAACCTTGAATTGAGGACAAGTAAATGGACATTTCACTGTGATTTCTCCAACATCCATACTATTGTTGTTCATTATGACCTACATATAATATTAGTTAATTTGTTGCAATTATTCCTGTTAAATTCTCTCTTAATTGTTTGTTACTTAAAATATGCCATGACAGTTTCCTGCCACATTCTTCCCAATTCATCATTCACAGTCATCCTTCATCCAATGCTACATAGCCAATTTGGGTGGAAAAAGGAATTTTAAAAACCAAGGAATCAAGCTGTGTGTATAAATAAAAGTTCATATGCTTGGGTTATTTGAATATTTCAATATGAGGATTTTCCTGTGTTTTCGTTGTTGCTCTGAAGTGGTTAAATAGTTTCTCTAGCTTGCAGAGTGACCATATGTGGCATTCTTTGGCAACATACAGAGCGAACCCAGACATATTTCTTGAGCATACAGTGTGTGATTTATTGTAAATGGAGTATGAAAGTGGATGCATGACTTATATTTTAATCTTTAAATTTGAAATGAGTAGGAGAAATTAAAAATGTCATAATTTCTGTCCTAACTAACTAACCACAGGGTTTTGCTTGTGCAATTGGTGGTTATTCAGCTGTTTTACTAATTCGCTGCTTTGATAGAATCTGAAGGTTCACCGGTGTGCTTACAATATTCCACTAATGAATTCTGTCTTGAACTAGTCGAATCTAGCTCATATTTTTACAGTATATGTCTTTCAATTTCCATTAAATATTATCCTCTGATTTATATATAGGTGTCCCAAACAGCCTCTTCCCTGAAGTTTTCCAATCAAACCTTTTATGGAGGTTTTGTTTCCTTTATACATTTCCATTTCATCCTTCACATTTAAATGCCATAACAATGTTTGCTGAAAAGTACAAAATTTATGCCCCTCAGTATATGTAATTTTCTTCATTATTCTGTTACTTTCTCCCTAGGTCCAGTTATTTCCCCCGCTGTTGTTCTTGAGTGTCCACAATCTATGTTCATCCCTCAGAGGGAGAGACCAGGCTTCACATCCATGTAAACGAGTAGGCTTACTGATTAGCTGACTTAAATTCCTTATGGTTCTCCTACAGATTTGAATCTCTTTGAGAGTCTGCTGGAAACTTGGTTCCCACTTGGAAAAGAGACTCCAAAAGCTTATTTAGTGGATACTTCAGAAGAAGCACTGCTGATTCCTGACTGGCTGAAACTCAGGATGATTCGGTCCAATGTAGATCGTCTGGTGGATGCAGCACTGACTGACTTGGAACCTCCTCAGCTGGTCCTTTTCATTCAGTCCTTTGGAATTCCAGTGAAATCCATGAGGTAATTCTGAATGATAAAATTGTATTGCCTTCCAGAAGCTTATTGTCATGATTGGTGATCGATATTATAAAATATGGGGGGTAGAATTTACACGTAGCTCTTTAGTTCATGGGTAAGTATGCTGGGCTCATACTCCAACAAAATATATTCTAATATGCGTTTCAGCACTCACTTTCGTGGCCAAGTGAATGGGTTCATCTGTTTTTTAGCATACTTTCCTTATTTTGAAAATAAAAAAGAGGCATATTAAATAACCTTGCTGTCCATCTGTATCTTTCCTTTTGTCTGTGTATCCCCCATATTTTTTTTAGGCTTATGAGATCACCAACACAACAAAAACAAAACAAACTCCATCGCTTGAGTCTGCAAGCGAACTGTACAAACTGAGCGACTTGTTGGCGAAGTTAGTGCCAACTTCAGCACATAGAGGGTGTCGCATGGTCAGTGCAATGAATCCCCACAGCCATTAATTTCGGTTTTCTAGGCTGGAGCTGCTATTTCCTTGAAATAGCTCCTCAATTATCCTCACAAGGCTGAATGGACCCCGTTAGACCCACAGCTTCTTAGAAAATATGGTAGCGCTGGGAATTGAACGCTGGACTTCAGGATCTATAGCCAGGAACTCTGACCACTAGATCACAGAGGCAGTAAAGTAATAATAAATAAACAAATATTGCTGTAGATACTATAGGGTTCTGATGATGGTGTATAACACACACAGATACTGGGTTTTCGGACTTTGTCCATCATCTGGATTCTAAATGACTAAGAAAAAAACACAACGTTTCGGAAACTGGATCTGTTTCCATCCTCAGATGAAGGAAGACACCTACTCTGTTGGGTCCCTTAGAAAGAGCTTGCCTCCATCGCAGGACAGCCAATGTCACAAAACACTAAGGCTATGAACACCTGAGACCAGGCTAAGTCCATGAGAGCTAACAGGAAAAATATACACTAAAAATTGTTCCAAGCATGCACGTATGTGGAACCGGGGTAGAAGGCTTATTAGAACACATTGCTGTCTGTCCCCCCCCCAGTTTTTTTTCTTTTTCTATGCAGTTCCATGTCATATCAAAGGAAAACAGGCGATTACTTCTTTCCAGAACTTCTTGTATATATAGTCATTCACATTATGTTATGGTCTGTGATTGGTTCTGATCTTGGCCTTTCTTTAACAACTATGAACATGGGTACTAAATGAGAATTAGCTGATGAGGAATGGTAGTAGAATAAGCACTTGGAAAGCTGCCATGGAAGTTGAAATTTTGCAGTATATATTGAGAGATGTGCATTTATGTGTATGATGTTTGAATTCCCGTGTGTGTGTTGTACAGTACATATGTGATGTTGGTGTTCATGATATACATATACAGCAAACTTCTGCATACGCTGGACCAAGCCGTGACCACAGACCCACTGTCTGTGGGTGAGGCTGTCTTGGACAAGAGCTATATGGCGCAGCTGGTTGAAGTTCAGCATCACCGTGGTGCCACTGGAGGACAGATGTTGGTGCAAGTTGTTCAACTGGAGCAGCCCAGATTACCAGGTTTGTAGTAACAGGAAACATGTGACCATTGAGAGGCATGAGCAATGCTCAGTATTCAGTAAAGCTTACTTTTCTTTATCTTCTTTTAGCATGGTTTTCATTTGTCATGCATCAGTGACAAAGAGTCTCCAGTCTCTTTATCTTCCCACAGTGTTTCCTTTCCAGTTTTTTTTATCTCTTCTTAATGTCTCCGACCACCACTGTGGTCTAGTGGTCAGAATTCCTGACTACAGATGCAGAGGTCCTGGGTTCGATTCCCAGCACTGCCAGATTTACTTAGAAGTAGTGGGTCTGGAAAGGGGTCCACTCAGCCTTGTGAGGATAGTTGAGGAGCTATTTGAATGGAAAAGTAACGGCTCTGGTCTAGAAAACTGAGAATAATGGCCGTGGGAATCCATTGTGCTGGCCACGTGAAACACTCTGTCCGCAAAAGTTGGCACTGCTCGGTTGGTATAGTTCTTTTGCAGACTACAAGCCACAGAGTTTGTTCTTGATGTCTCCCAGTACTTGAAAGAACATTCTTGTTATGTGTTGTCTTGTCTTATTGGTCTGTATCCTTGAAATTTTTATTCTTATGCCTGTCTCAGTATTCTTATTCTGTCCATTCTTTTTAAATGACCAAACCACTGCAATTGTTCATCTAACTTTATTAACAAATTCTGAATTCCATCTTCTTTTGTAAAAGAATTCATTTCTGAATCTGTATCTTTTTGATCTTCCCTCAATATATCTAAAAAGATTCATGTCCATTGCTTGGATTTTGCTTTTGTTTCTATTTGTAAGGATCTGTGCTTTGGCATTATATATTAGTATTGGTTTAAAATTTACTTTATAGATTTTTTTGGCTTTGTTTTGGGATATCTCCATTCCATAATATTCTTTTATAATTGAATAAACTTTAGGATTATTTAGTAATTTTCTGTTGATCTGTCCATTGTTTATAAAGTGTATTCTCTTGACTGAAAAGTGCATCTAGAAATTGCTGTTCCATAACTATGCGAGCTACTAATGTATCTTTTTATATCTAAGAAGTACATTATAATTACAGTTATATTTTCTAAAGTGTATGAGTATTAAACTATACACTGCATCTGTGCTTTAAGAAAATTGTGTAATGTGATGACAATATTATGTTGTTATCTAGCCCATTCTCTGAGCTATATTGAAAGTCTTTGTTTGCCTAGATTATTCTCGACTGTGTTCCACAACACATCGACAAACCCTCCCTGTAACTGCATTGTCAAATAAAGATGGTACAAAAGTGACAGATCAGACAGAGGTGAAGCAAGTTGCTTCTGTGTTGCTGAAACTGTTTGGAAGTGGAACACTGGAACCTGAGTGGAATAAGGCTGAAAAGCAACAAGCATTTAGGACTCTGCAAAAGGTAAAGTCAATTTCCACTCATGGATTATCATAAAAAAAGTCATTATGAGTCAAATATTACCTGTACTTAAGCTTTGTGCTGGTTGCCTGCAAGACTGCATTAAGAGTTCTAGTCTCATTCATCTGCTGCTGTACATCAATAAGGTAATTGAACAGCACAAGCACATGCATAAAGTTCATACCTTAGTGAAAGTATGGTACAGTCTTATGTAATTTCAAAGAATTTCTTAAAATCTGTATATTTTCCCTTTATCTTGCACATCTTATAATCATATAAATAATGTCACATATTTAGTGACTAGACATGGGGTGTGGATGAATAATTGGATATATTGAACACTTATCAATCATAAGTAATCGTAAAAATGTCACGGAACTCACTCTACATTTCATTATAGCACATGCTAATTCTTCTCAGTTTGTCTTCACTAGTCTTTGGTATGTCACGGAAATGTGTTATCAAGCTGTTGCCTTGCAATGGCTGCCTCTTTCAGTCATCTTTTTACAGTATTTAAGGGCTTGAAAGGAAACCTGTTCAGTTTTAGAATTCTGTTAAGTGGCTGTGTGTATCTGTCTTTCTATTCATTTTTCTTCACTCTGATTTGCTTTTGGATATCAGACAAATTCTAGTGAAGTACTGTATGAACAGGTGCCATGACATGCCATTATTTTGCACTGTATATCTCTGTCATCAATGATCCTACGTGTAATATTTGAGGTTTTCGCTGCGGTGACTTTGAAGAATGCCGTCTTCTGGGATGTGGCGCCGTGTAGATCTTGTGTGAACCGACATTTCAGAGGAACATAACATGTCCATCTTCAGGGTAATGTGAACTGATGTTCCTCTGAAATGTTGGTTCACACAAGATGTACTCAGCGCCACATCCCAGAAGACGGCATTCTTCAATGCACCCATTCACACAGTTGGAATGGTTCAATCATGATTTGAAGAGCATGAAGGTGAACTTCAACATCTTCCCTGGCCAACACCAAATGAGGAACAGATTCCCACCTCCAACATATTTAAAGCAACTTGAGGATGTTCTTCAAGAAGAATGGTATAATTCGCACTAGGAACTGTTCAAAACTTGTGTGAGTCCATTTGAAGAAGGATTGAGGCTGTATTGAAGGCAGAAGGTGGTCCAACACCATATTACTAAAGAAAATTGTACAGTATCTGTAGTGTTCCATTATTTTGTCGAACCCGTGTTTATGTACACAAACCTGGTCTTTATGTACTTACAAATAATAAAACAATTCTGTCCAGTGTGACTGTTGACAACAGTATCAACAGTCACACTGGACAGAATTGTTTTATTATTTGTAATATTGTTAGTGTGACGGACCAGAATGAAACAAATCAAACTTCATGTACTTCCCATACACCCTTCTATGTGAATCATGCAACTAGACACACATTTGTTATTTTTTTTTTTTAGTTTTAACAAAGACTTTCCCATATCTTTAGACAGTGAACCTAATTCCATTTGGTGAAATATTAGTTTTGGTAATAATCTTACAGAATGTGTTCCACATAAGAATGTTTTACGTGTAAATCTCCAGAAGCTATTCTCCCTTTCATGATATTTACCTGACATTTAATGTGTCTAATTTTCAGACATTGGCAGTTGAACTTCAACAATCAACAGGAGAAAAGAAGACACTGAATTCAACAATTGTATTTTTCAATGAAATATTAAATTCAACAAGATCAACATCATTTGTCAATTCTCTGCTTCAGACACCACAGCTAGCATGTCCCTTGTTACGCCTTATGACTACAGCAGCTGTAAGTGAAGATTTTGCTGTACTTGATACATATTGTTAAAAGTAATAGCTTAATTACCTGCATATAGATCACATGTTTTACTGCAAGTTTTCAGTCTGAAAGTATAAGAGTGGTCTATACATGGTTCAAGTTTCTTTTGTGCACAAAACAATAAAAATACATACAATACAAGATTATGTAATTTTAGTGAATACTTCTTTATTTTGAGCACTTGAATTAACAGAATATTACTGTGTTCCATTGTCTGCTTTTCTGAACATCTTAAGTCATCAGAGTTTTTGGAAAAGAAGTTCTTTATCATCCCAGCATTGTGAGTGACATATTTATCATTGGCTTCAAATCATATTATTAAGTAACTCATAAGCTGGAGAACTGTCAAATATTTTTACTCATTGGAAGACAACAGAGGTTAGATACTATTCATATCTCAGTCTTGTTCAGTTGCATTACACTTTGGGTCCTTCAGATCCAGAAATACTGTACTGAAGTACCTGACCTCTGCAAGGGTAAATGATTGTTTAGGATATATTTGAGGTTATTCTATCACCTGTTGCAGGTAAAAACTAGTAACCAAGAAGATGTAGTGCAATCTATAATAAGTATTTGTCAAGACATTATGAGAATTTCAGCAGGCAACAAATCCTCGGTAATGACCATTGTTAAACACTTCTTACGCAAACATACATTGAAACAAGAACAGAAATCTCAGGTGGTTCAGCTGTCATCTACAGAAGACCCATTACAAGGTACTACCATGGTCTGTTATTTAGATGTTCATCTTTATAGAGTTTGTATGCTTTTAAACGTCTTTGAGGCAATCAGATCACATATGTGGCTTTGTATTCAAAAGTCTCAGGATTAATTTTGTGCCCAGAGGCTGGTTGTCCTAACTGAGGTTTTCATGGTTTCCCTAGTCTATCCTGAAAATTCTGGAATAATGCCTCTCACTTCTTTCCAATTTCATTATTCACGATTATCCTCCCTTGTGATTTCTCTAAATTCTATGCAGTTGAGAAATTATCAATACATATGCTAAAAAGAAACAAGAGAAAGAATTTCACTAAGAGTATTTAATATGCTCAGTTTGATGATATTAAACCTAAGGACATTTTCTAGTAGTAAAAAGTGAATTATTAACCACACTTTGCTAAGAGTGCTTATGAGAGTCATAGAGAATATACAGATTCTTACATTGTGATTAGTGTGAAAAGGGGTCATGCAGCCCAGTCAGTAGCCAGTAGCTATTTCATTGACTTTCAATCAATCAATTAATAAAGACTGAGGATAAAAGACATAAATTGACATCTGAATGTCTAGTTATTCTACCCTAAAGCTGAGACACAATTCTATATCAAATATCTACAGCCTTTATTGCCAATATTAACATGTCACAAACCTGATTCAAGATTAGACTCCTGTTTACTGTGTAAATTAAATTATCTATCTTGCAGTTCTTCAGCAGAGCCCTATTTTAAAACTAGAACGAACTGGACAATTGTTGCTGGATGAAGGGTTAAAGCTACACAATACAGAAAAACTGGTTGAAGCAATGGGCAGGCTGTTACTGCAAGACACAACTGGTTTTCCAGCACAGACTGACAGCATATCGTCTGTAGCCAGACCTGAACGCACTGGTTTGCTAATAGACTGGCTTGCGTCATTTGAGCCTGAACTCATTGGCTCATGTACGTCATTACAGGTAAGACCTAAGCAAAGCCTTTGGTCATATCTACATAGTGTTTATTGTAACTTATTTTGAACTTTGGCTTTGTTGTGACCAGAGGATGAATTTCATAATTTTCCTTTAGATGCAACTGTGCCCTACTTGCATGCTGCATAGAGATAACTATAAGGTTTGAAGAACATGGTCTTTTGGTTTGTAACATTGTGTAATTCAGAGGGAGCCTAGCATTTCAAAGGAACATGTTTCAACCATCATGGTTGAGGAATAAGCCAGGTGATTTTTTCAAGTCATTATTTACTAATTGTCCTACCATTTGATGCTATATAGTCTGTGATGGCAACATTGAATTCAGCCTTTAATACATTTGGCTGTTTGTGTATGTGTGTGTCAAATCCTATTTATGATATATTTCAGATGCAGCTTTTATTTTCGAAGTCTCATAACCATCAAACTGCAGTTTCAAAATCAGGGAGTTCATCTACTCAGTCATGTCGGCCATATCTGCTGACTCTGCTGACACATCGAGCAAGTTGGGCAACATTACACCACTGCTTACAGAATTTGCTTAATGAGTGTGATCAGAAGTATGATCCAACAGCTGTACTTGACTTTCTGTGGGCCCTGACCTGTAATCCCAAACTTTGGCAGGGTCGTGAGAAATTTACACCCAAACACCATTCTGCAGAAGACATTCTGGGGCTGACGTCAGCTCAGGTATGGCTGCATGTGATTTCCCATGCAGAAAGGGCAGTTAATATAATTTATTTTATTTAAAACAAGATTCAGATTTATTGTATAACTTGTGTATGTGCGTATCTGCGCTTGTGCGTGTATGTGTTTACCTTTAAGCATCACTGAGCAGGTTGATGAAGTGACAGCACTCTAAACTTGTATTGTGGGAGACGTTCAGCTTTCATCTCGATCAGGGCACTGGTTATTCTGACTGAGGATTTTTGTGACCTTCCTCACTCTGTCCACACATATGCTGCGATTGTACACCAATTAGGCCAAGATTGTTTCCCCCCAGATCCTTTACAATTCATCAGTCATCCTACCGTTTGATGCTGTACTGAGATACTGACATAATGAAACAAACCACAAAACCTCTTAATATGGTGTACATGAATATATACGGAGATGCTACACACATCAATTGCATTAAATATTATGGTGTAGTGGTTCAATGTGATTTTTCCCATTGTTACGCCAAACCCAGAAATGAGGCATCTTCCTTGATATATATTAGTAAAACGTGTTCAGATCTTGCTGCCCCTTTTTCTACTACTTACTGATATTATTTCTTCTGCTCCCCACCATTTTTATTTTGCCAAGCAGGCTTATAATTTATATAAAATTGTTATTTTCAAATCATTTGTTCCAATTTGAAGAGAAAAAGCATTCTGTTTCTTATGGTAGTCACTTGAAGATTAGAAAAATCAAAATGAGTATCTCAGAAATGGGATAGTACAGTTGGTATAATGACTAGCTACAAGCTGGTTGACCCAGGAGTCAGAGTTCGAGTCACAATGGGGGCAAGAATATTTTCTTTTCCACGTTGGCCAGACCGGTGCTGGGGCCTACCGAGCCTCCTATCCAATGGGTACCAGGGGCTCATTCCCTTGGGGTAAAGCAGGCGGGACATTAAGCTGACCATTCACCTCCAACTAGTGCTGAGGTGAAGAAAACCTGGATCTATACAGATACTCCGCCATATGCCTTAATGTTGTAGTGCTTAATTGGCTAAGCACAGGGACAACTTTACCGTCTGTGTCAGTTCTTGTCACATAATTTATATTGCATATTTCACATGCCCTTATTTTGCATCAGAAATATTTATATTTTTGCACTTCATTTTTCTTCTAATTTTACATGTAAGAAATTGAAATATTGTTCAGTACTCATAACAGAGTCTGAAATGTGCAATGCAAGTCAGAAGTGACAAGATATTAGAATGTTAGAATGATGCATGTGATTTTGAAGAAAACAGTGGGCTTACATAATAAATCTTAAAATGATATAAACTCATTCAGAGGCCCTGAGTATAGAAATTGTTCAAACTAATATTGATTTTCTTAGCCATAAACTCTTCTCACTTACATAACTTCACATTCCGGAACAGTTTATCATGTACTTTACACACCCAGTTTTAGAACTAAAGTCTTTCGAAAAATTCTTAATGACATTAGTAAGTACTGTGTATTAAAACAGAATATTTATGTTAGTACAAAATTCTTGTTTAGTCTCTGAAATCATATATTTCACCTTATAGGATGATCAGTGTGTGATCTTGCTATCTTATTTCAGACATTGGCTTTGGTTGGCTACATTGTTGAAGAAGCTCTTTTGACAGTTAGAGAAAGTGAAACTCATTTACAACAGATAGCCTTAGATAAAATGGAATCTCGTCTTCCACTTTTACTGCAGTGTACCAGTGGTGGACAGGAGATGGCAGCAGTTGCCAGATACCTTGTTGATATTATGTCTGCCAAAACAGGGTAAGTGTTTACCAAGTATTTATTGCATTGTAAGAACCAATAAGAGTAGTAATTATGATTTTGTTGGACTTTGTTTATTCTGAGGTATGCTGATGCCCATAATACTTCAGAAGTCAATATAATTCCATTGCAAGATTATTGGTCATTTCATACTGATAGTTTTTATTTAATCTATTTATGTTTGACCCTTTGTAAGCAGAATTGAACCCAGAAACTTCTGGCCAATCACTATGACATATAGTTGATGTAATGTAAAATGGTTAGTATACTAGATTAATATTTATAGCCCTGGGTTTGATCCCAGTGATTGCCTCAAGAATAAATAAATGAATAAATTAAATGCAAGTTTTGTCAGTATAACAGTGAGCTATCTGAAGCTGGGAGAAGCTCCATCTTGCGAAACTTACTGGTATTGTACATTAAATAATCTTGGACCAGGAGACAGATTTATTACTGAGATGTCATTACGTATGTTACTGCTGTCAGTAGTCTTCAGGGATAGTATCTCTAGCTGATACTGTTTTTTCTCATAACGCAAAGTATACAGTATATGAAAGATGTTGAAGTATCATGTTGCTGTGAGAACCAATTGTTCTGTAGCTTTGAAAATATCATTCTCACACATGCCTGTTGAAATAGGCCATAATTACTTTGATGTATGTCCTTACGAACTCAGGGGCCAGGATATCACAGTCAGCATAGCAACTGGCTACTGGCTAGGCAACTGAGGGTCAGAGTTCTAGTTCAAGTAGGGTCAAGAATTTTGTCTTCTCCATGTTATCCAGACCGCTTCTGGGGCCCACCCAGCCTCCTATGCAATGGGTATTTGGGGGGGGGGGCGGTCATCTTCCCCCAGGGGTAAAGTGGCTGAGGCATGAAGCTGACCACTCATCTCCAGCTAGTGCTGAGGTCAAGAAAATGTGGATCTATACGTCAGTTACTCTGTATGTCTTCATGGCATACTGCTTAATTAGTTAAGCACAGGGACAACTTTACTTTACCTTACCTTACTAATTCATGATTGAAGTTGATCTTGTAATGTTCAGTGCTGTATAACCTTCTGAAGATTAAACAGTGCCATTGAATAGCATAAGAATCAATCCCGTTTATCCATTAATATGTTTCTTAGGACAAAGTCAGACATTGCGCATCAGTTACTGCTGAAATTGTATCTGCGAATCCCTGGTCTGATCCATCATCTTGTGGATGTAGAACTGGACAAGTTCCTAGCAGGAGCCTGTGTTAATGGTAATACTGACATACTACTGCTCACTTCTGTACAATGCTAAGTAAAAAGATGGCTGAATTTTTAAAAGAGAAAATAACATTTACCGTATTTACGCATGTATAGGCCGCACATTCTTTGCCAAAAATTCAAGAGGAAAACTGGGGTGCGGCTTATATTCGAAATATTCGAAATCACACTTCATTTAAAAAAAAAATTTTATTCGTAATTAGTAATACAGGGTGTTCTACTCCTGAAATAATATTCCAAGAAAATTATTTTTTCTATAATTTCTGTCTGAAAATTGTGCTGCGGCCTATACACGCACGCGGCCTATACATGCGTAAATACGGTATTCTGCCTTAAAGTACAAAATGTATGCTTATAGTTCTCTCTCATGTGAACAAGAACTGGTTGTACTATCATAACTAGGGACGGGATTTTTATGCCCTAATAATCCCTTAAATATGTATGCATTTATGCATGAAAACTTCTGAAATATGCACTAAAATATGCACATAAAAATTTATACCAAATATTAAAATTTATTTTACATTATTTTAAGACCAATAAATCAATATTTAAGTTCATTTTATGTAATCACTGAATGATTCACTTGCAATAGAAAGCTATACTTAAATACAAATCATGCAACAAAGCCAACATATTTCATTACAAATTTAAAAAACCAATGGTACTCACATTTGGCTCTCCAAACTTTCAACTTCTCTTCTGTTGCAGTTCACAGTTACTAAATGTTTTAGGTTTTCCATAGTTAGTCGCCTCCTATTGTCTTGTAAGATGTCCTTATAGCAGGAAACACTTCTTTCCACCTCACAGGAACTTAGGGGCTCATGTACAAAAGCCACTATTTGCTCCACTGTTAGTGATTTTTTACTTGGCAGTTCAGTACGTTTACCGGCTAAAATTTCTTCAATTTCACAAATTTGTTCATATCCTGGATTTTTTGAAAGAACGCTGTGTACTTTTTCCTTTACTACTTCACCAACTCTTCCAGGAACCGAATTAAATTTGGAAACAGTGGTTTTGAACACACTTAACGACTGATTCAAAGTAGTATTGCTATTGCTTGCCTCCAGTGAGGAAATGGCAGATGATAAATGAGAGAAGGGAGCAAATATATAGATTAGTTTCTAGTTCTGCGTTTTTTTAGTACATCTTGTGCAATTTGAATTGATGCTGCACTTTTGGGATCACATGTATTCATGACATTCCTAACTGTTTCTAAATGTTCAGTATAAACTCGTTGCACACAGCCACGTGCCCCAGCGCGTTAAAATTGGTTCTGGCAGAAGTGGAACGCTTGGTGCTACTGCTTTAAAGGCTTAATTTCTGTATGGCGCTTTAACAAATACCTTCTTCACAGAAAACACCAACTTGTCAACAAGCAGAAATTTTGCATGAATTGTTTCTGCAACACGGTGCAACCCATGGGCAAAGCAAGTCAAATGTGTGATATTTGGAAATATAACTTCAAGAGTAGTACCGGCTTTCATCATATAACTTGCGGCATCACTCACAAAGTCACGCGCTCATACTGAATGCCATTCGGCCATAGTATATTCATGGAACTGATAAAATCCAGAAACTGCGGAGCTATTTGTGGTTTCAAATTGCTCTACCGCAAGAAGATATGGGGTAGATTGTTCATTCTTATTAAGGGATCAAACTATACAATTTGCAATAAACCATCCCCTACAATCTTGTGTTTCGTTGATTGATACCCACACAAAATTATATTGAATCTTATCTGTAATGCTTTCAATTGTAAGATCGTAACACTGCTTCACGTAATTTTTTCCCACAGTAGATTCATCCGGCACTTTGCGCTGTGTATACCTCTCTATGAAGTTTCTCAGAGCAGGATTGGTTAGTTTCCACAGTGGAATATCTGCCGCTAAAAAAGCTTCGCATAAATCAAAGGAAAACTGTGAAAAACTGTTATTAGAAAATTCACTATGCAATTTTTGAACATGAGCACTTTTCGTGGATTTAATTTTAATATTCTGTTGAAAGCGTTTTTCACAACCAACTGTTTTCTCACATGCTTGGCAATAAAGACTTTCGTTATCCGAACTTATCATCTCTCCTTTGAACTCCCGCTGATACAGCTGTAATTTAGTTTTCTGACTTACTTTCACTTTCGGCATGACTACAAAAAGCTAAAAAAAACTTAACTACAGACTAGTCACCACTAATGTGAATGGCCCCCAGCTTCAAATGAAGGAGCGTAACGAACCTCATGGAGACTTCGGAAATAAATAAGTGAAGTCCCTTATCGGTTGAATAGTATTACATTGATAGTGGCTACATGTGAACGCTTCCGACTAATCTCTTCGCAGCCACTTTGAAGGTACGCAGATGAGGCAAGTTAACGAGTAGAGGGATCGGGGAAGTCCCGTCCTTGGTATTGCATCAGAAACATGAATCATGACGAAATGTTGAGTCAAATATGCAACACATTCTAATATGGAAAAGAAAAATTGTATACACATGACCATGATTGAAAATTTGAACATAAAATTAAAAAAATATATATGATAAGCATTTTAAAAAGGAAATATGCGGTATAAATAGAGATCTTCAAAAATATTATGCTTATTCATAAAACAGGCAAAATATGCATTTATATGCACCATCAAACCAGGTCCAGAATTTAAGAAATGAAGTAATTCATACATATATCCAAACGAGCATATTTTCTGGTTACAAGAAAGAAATATGCATTTGCATTAAAATCCAGTCCCTATTCATAACAGCTGTAAATTAAACTTGCAGTGAGTTCAGTACGGAATAAAATCAGCTTTAACACTCAACCATATATAAACAAAATAAATTTGATAGGAAATTTATTTTCTGTATCTTCATGAGGTAACATATTCTCCAAGTGAAAAATGTGATGCTGACAAAATTATGACATTACATGGAGAAATGTTCACTAACAGCTGATCTTGTGGTACACAATATACTTTTGTACTGTCATCCAGAACAGGTATACTATGGAGATAATGGCATTTAATTGAGCAAATAACTACAAACATCATGTGATGATGTTGATGATGGTAAAAAATATGACTGTGTACATATCCTGCATTGTTTTTGACAATGACTGTATTAATAATTAGATTACCTTATTAAAGGTTTTTTAAAGGCTTAACGTAATGTTCTTGTAGAGTGGAGTAGCAGTGTCCTGGATGGTATGTCACACACACTCTTCACTGCTCTTACTGCTACATCACAGAGTAAAGACTGGACTCGACGTTCACAGGAATATGAACTTCTTGCCCGTAAAATGGCATCGGTGCACCCAATATTAGTATTGAGGTAAAAATCCACTACTGCCAGTAATTTTAAGAATAATTTCATCTGTAGGAGTGGGGATAGCTCAGTTTATATAGTGATTGGCTGTGGGCTGGATGGCTGGGGTTCAGTTCCCAGCAGGAACAAGGTTTTTCTCTTTTCCACAGCATCCAGACCAGCTCTGGGGTCCACCCAGCTTCCTATCCAGTGGGTATTGGGGGCTCTTTCCTGGGGGTAAAGTGGTCAGAGCATGAAACTGAGCACTCTATTCCATGTCGTACCATGGTCAAGAATGGTGGAGCTATATCTCCGCTCACCCATATGTCTTCTTGACATACAGGGCCAACTTTACCTTTTTACTGTAGTCTGTTCTTCATCCTGTTGTCCATGAATGACAAGTAGCTGTGGTAAGTTACACAGGAAAATTCTGCATTCATGTTTGAGTGTGAAATATACTGCAACCCATGCTCAATTGCAGAGGCTTATGTAAATGACTGTGCTGGAATAATAGTGTCTACTTGTAACCCACATCTATGTGAATCAGTGAATGATAAGGTACTGGCCATTTCAACCACGCAAACGGCCTTGACAGTTAAAGCAAATAGCAGACTTAGAGAAACTGGCTATGTTAGTTATAACTGCAGTTTTAAAATTTGGAGATGTTTTAATTGACAGTTTGTGATTATTTTGTTCAGTAAACATTGTGATGCCTCTCTTTGCCACACTCTTACATAAACACTTTGTATATATTACTGGGCATTCTTTGTGTCACTTCTAATGTTGCACCTGTTTTGTGGAGTGAGAAGAGATATGATGCACCAGTAAGAGATGTTGGCTGAAATGGACCCAGGATTTGTGGGTCCTAAAATAGGCCCAGCCTTGGTTCACGTATAGATTATGTAGGATGGAGTTTATGAGAGTTATGCAATAATTGGATTGATGTTGCTGTATGGGTTACAGGCAGCTACCTATGTTGGCAGCAACATTAAGAGGAAGAGTGCATTTGGACTTCGCAGTGTTCCGATCACGAAATCATCTAAACCTCTTCCAGCAAGTTGTAGGCATTCTGGAGTTGTTGCAACCACACATCTTCTTGCAGGAGTACTCAGAGGGCCTGGAAGATACCTTACGCTCATATTTCGCTCTATTTAAGGTATTGCATTCATGAAAGAATTAGAAATATATTAATGTAGAGAAATGCAGTGACATCACTGTGCATCACAGTAGTGTAACATACAATTATATATCTTTTTATTTAGTATCACGGCCATATGAAGGATCTTTTGTCTCTCCTCAACCGCTTCATTTCGCTGCTCCAAGGTTTCATCTCGTATGATGCTCAGAGAGCCTTGAAGTACTTACAGAAGCATGCACATGTCCTAAGGTAACTTATAACTAATTATACTAACCAACGCTGTGAAAACTTAATTATTTTACGTTGAGGTGCATGCATGACTTACTGTAGGGGGTGGGATGAGACTTTGAAAATTGTGATGTGTTATAACACCAAAGGACATTTTATCCATGGGGAGGACGAGAAACAATTACAAAATGTTATCTGGTAATTTCAAGAGACTCTTTGAAAAACTTAGGCATGGATGAGAAGATAATACTAATATAGATCTTAGAAAAGTAGGATTCAAGGGTGTATATTCGATTTGGCTGACTCATGCTAGGTTCCAGTGGTGAGTTCATATGAGGACAATATCAGCACAGTGATGGGTAATTTCTGAAGGACTCTCATCCATGCAGGGACAGTTACATTACACATACATGTATTTTCCATCATGCCTCGTGCCAGTACATGATGTTGCACAGAAATATCTGATGGACAAAGCAGGTGTGTTTTGTTTGGTATTTGCAATTAGTGTGGTAGAGAACAAGTTGCAGTTTGATCTATAAGTGGGAAGCCTGCTGTAACATACATTCTTAAAGGAGCAACCAATTTAACTCTTTGACTGGCGCGAAGGGTATTTAAATCCCACCCCTGTCCTGGCAGGCCCTTTAAACCTTATGTCACTAAAATGCATGTTGTTACTTTTTCCTAAACAACTTCAACAAAAATTGGTTTTTAAAAACGAAATTTTTAGGAACTAATTAAAATACAATATTTTATGCAATAAATGCTTTTCCACACCTCTTTATTTGTTTTTCTTCGTGTGATAAACATTGAAACATGAAAGTTTGCAGAGAGCCACACCACAGCCTGCACACATGATACTTGTTTCTTTTCTAACCTTGTGATTAGCACTCACGCGACACTTTCTCAGGGCACCATTCTTCTTATTGTTACTGTTAGGAACATGGACCATTTTGTGAATTTTCAAGCCACCCTCTAGACGATTTGCTGGCTCTTTCACTGGTGGTCTTTTCAAGGTCGAGGGCGGAGGCGTGACTGCACTCTAGTCTGACCCAATAGATTCGTCATCCACTTCATTCCTTGACTTTTCTCCCTCTCCACACTGTTTGTTTGGTTCAGTCATTTTTCTACACAGTCCAATATAAAATCTTTGAATCTGTAATTTCTCTTCTTGTATTTTTCGTTTGTTGTGTTCTTTTTGAATAGAATGAAACTATTCAACCGCAAAGACATGTTTTGTCCAAACCATGGGTGTGAAATATGGGCCTAGTGGACAAATATTCTTCAATTTCAGGGCGTTTGTCGATTCCTGTCATGAACACAATTCCTAAGTATGTCCAGATTTCATCTGATGTGACATAATTGTAATTGTGTTTTCGAGAGTGAGGAGCTAACTCATGTGCGTTGAAGTGCTGGTGAGCATAGCGATTGGTTTCAGTTGTGATGTGATTTACCAAGTCGTCATCCAGAAAAAATTTTAATCCATGAAAAGGGATGCATTTTATGTGTTATATCAATTTTGATCCCGAAACTATTAGCAAATGGAAATATTGGGGGTACAATGTCTCCGTACGTTCATGAGATGGGCGTGTCAGGCACCGCACTCGTGGTAGGTAAATGTTCATGATTACTGTCTTGTGGATCATTGCCTATCACTGTATTATTGTCACTATCAACTTCATCCAATTCAGGAATCATTATTTCATCGCCACTATCATCATCAGAAAAAATCTCGTTCACAACATTTTCCAGCTGGTCTGTAGGAACACGAAGACACTTGCTGCAAGAAGCTATGGTGAAACTGAATGAATGTGAAATATTTTCTGACCTTTACCTTCTCAGAGGGTTCTGACAGTAATATAGACCCCCACAAAGTTTACAAGGGTTCTTTACAAACATGCACAAAAACTATCATATATATGTCTTTGGTTGATGAGTGCCAAGAGAGCAAAGAAGGGATGAGATTGTCAAAGCGTTAAAACACGCCAACGCCAGGGAACGGCTGGCATCATCCGGGCGTTAAAACACGCCCGCGCCAGTCAAAGAGTTAATAACATTAAATTTATGGAAGTCCTGCAGTTATTAATGGTTTTAACTACTGTTGGTCCTGCCTGGTATATATCATTTTATTTATTACAACGGTATCAGAGGGAAGTGATCTTGAGTAATGTATTGTGGGATTAGTAACTTCTTGGCTTCCTTGGTCCTCCCCAATTGGGTAGTATAATCATCATCATCATCATCATCATCACTGGCACAACAGCCCTTTGTGAGCTCTGGCCTTCCTCAGGATTGCTCGCCATTCTTCTCCATTTGATGCTACATTCCTCCAGTTCTTTACACCCGAAATGGGTAGTATAGTAGTCAACAGTATTTTAATTATTGCTGCTGTTTTAAACAGTGGACATTGAGATATGGTAACAATGATAACATGGATATAGACTTGTTACTTAATATGCTTCTGAATAATTATTTAAGAATATTTTATACAAGTTTTCCCCTTCAGAAAATAATTGAGAGAGGTAATAATAATTATTGGATAACAACCGGTATAAAGATTTCCTGTAATTCATTCATTCATTCATTCATTCATTCATTCATTCATTTGTTCATTCATTTCATTTCTGTTAATCCAGGCTGGTACAACCATTGGATATAGAGAAAGTAAAAAAACATGCAGTCATAAAAAGATTTTGTCAAAATTAAATATAAGATTAACAAGCAAATATAAATATTACAAGGTAACAATTAAAAAATTATAAATATAGATAATATTTTGAATTAATAAACAGATAAAACAATTCAAATTATCTAACTTTGTACATAAAAAGTTATCCACTATATAAAATAAAATGAAATTTTAATACCATATTAGCACATCTATTACCATACTCAAGTCATGGAAAGTTCAGTCATTTTATAAAAGTGTGCTAATTAATAGAGGTACAACCACAAAACTACTTGAGCATAAAATACTACCAGTTTGTAATTAGCAGTCATAGAACAAGAAAAAGATAATAAATGACCATAAAATATAACAACGATTTTATGCTGT